TAGGTTTTTAAAGTATTCCCTTATAATGTTCTGTATCTTTCTGGTGTCTGTTGTGATGTTTCCCCTTTCATCTCTGATTTTGTTGATTTCGAGGTGCTTTCTTTCTTTTGGTTAACTGGGCTAGCGGTCTGTCAGTCTTGTTTATCTTTTCAAAGAACCTGCTCTTGGAAATGTTGATTCTTTGTTATTGATTTCTTTGTTTTAATTTCATTAATTTCTGCCCTGATTTTTGTTATTTCTTCTTGTCTGCTGGGTTTGGGTTTCATTTGTTGTTGCTTTTCAAGTGTATGAGTTGCAATGTTAAGTCACTTATTTGTGTGCTTTCCTTTTTTCTTTTTTTTTTGGTCTTTTTGAGACAGGGTCTCCCTATAGCCTGAGCTGTTCTATGTAGACCAGGCTGGCCTTGAACTCACAGAGATCTGCCTGTCTCTGCTCCCGGAGTGCTGGGATTAAAGGCATGTGCCACCACACCCAGCTTCTTTCCAATTTTTTGATGTAGGCACTTAGAGCTATAAACTTCCCTCTAAGGACCACTTTCAGCGTGTCTCAGAGGTTTTGCTGTGTTGTATCGTCCTTTTCATTTAGTTCCAGGAATACTTTTATTTCTTTCTTAATTTCTCTTTTGACCCATTCATCATTCAGGAGTGTGTTGTTTAATCTCCATGTGTTCATGTGGTGATTAGGGCTTCTTCTGGTGTTGATTGTAAGCTTTATTGCATTGTGGTCTGATAGAATGCATGGAATTATTTCAATATTTTTGCATTTGTTGACGTTTGTTTTGTGCTCCAGTATATGGAGTTTGGAGAAGGTTCCATGGGGTGCTGAGTAGAAAGTATGTCCTTTGGTGCTTGGGTGGAATACTCGGTAGATGTCTGTTAAGTCCATTTGATATATGGTATTGTTTAATTCAGATGTTTCTCTGTTAACTCTTTGCCCTGTTGACCTATCTAATGGAGACTGTGTGGTATTGAAGTCCCCTACTGTTAATGAGTTGGTATTAATCTTGGTCTTAAAGTCCTATAGTATTATTTTTATGAAGTTGGGTGCACCAGAGTTTGGTGAATATATGTTCATGATTGTAATATCTTCTTGATTTATTGTTCCTTTGATCAGACTGAAGTGGCCCTCTTTATCTCTTCTGATTAGTTTTAGTTTAAAGTCTATTTTTTCAGATATTAGAATTGCAATGCCTGCTTTTTTTCTTAATACCATTTGCTTGGTATATTTTTTTCTATCCTTTCACTTTAAGATGGTGTCTGTTTTTGAAAGTGAGATGGGTTTCTTGCAGACAACAAAAAGATGGGTTTTATTTCTTAACCGATTCACCTAGTCTGTGTATTTTGACTGAGGAGTTCAGCCTGTTTAAATATTAAATTTAAATAATGAAAGATGAGTATTGAATCCTGTCATTTTTATTTCTATTTACATTCATGATGTAGCTGTTCTTTTCCACCTTCATTGAATTTCTATCCACAACCCCTCGGGTGTAGTCATTCCTTTCTTCAGCTCTTTGTATTGCTTCCAGAACTCTCTGAAGGGCTGGTTTTGTGGACATGAATTCCTTCAGCCTATTTATGTCATGGAAGATTTTTCTTTTCCCTTTGACTATAATAAACATTTTGGCTGGGTATAGTAATCTGGGTTATCATCTGTGGTCATTTAAAACTGGGAATGCTTTGGCCCAGGCTCTTCAGGCTCTCATAGTTTGCACTGAAAAGTCAGCTGTAATCCAATGGTTTTTCCTTTATATGTGACTTGTTTCTCTTTTGCAGCTTTCAGTATTGTCTCTTTGTTTTGTACGTAT